ATATAAATATAAAAATTACATGCGGTATGTGAAAATAACAGCAAATTGCAAGTGTTCCTACTGTTAGATGAATAAGAGAAATAAAGAAGAGGAGACAGTGTTTGGATACATTCCTATATATTTCCATCTCCTCCCACAATTATGATGAAAGGCTGAGGTAGCTGGGTCTCTTGATCTTGGAGAAGAGGAGACTGAGGGGTGACCTCATTGATGTTTATAAATACGTAAAGGGCGAGTGTCAGGAGGATGGAGCCGGGCTCTTCTCGGTGATGGCCAATGACAGGACAAGGGACAACGGGTACAAGCTGGAGCACCGGAGGGTCCACATTAACATGAGGAAAAACTTTTTCACTGTGAGGGTGACAGAGCACTGGAACAGGCTGCCCAGAGAGGTTGTGGAGTCTCCTTCTCTGGAGACATTCAAAACCCGCCTGGACACGTTCCTGTGTGACCTGCTCTGGGTGGTCCTGCTCTGGCAGGGGGGTTGGACTAGATGATCTTTCAAGGTCGCTTCCAACCCCTGACATTCTGTGATTCTGTGATTCCCTGAAGAGCTGAAATATTCATAGTCTGCAAAAGAGTCACCTGCTACATTGTCTTTTTTAGCTCTGATCTTGACTTGAGCTTTGTTCACATTTTGGATCACAGTGGTACTGTAAGGAAGAAAAAAAAATCTTAATCAGGAATGCTGATGTGGTTCATTAAGTCATCATTATATACAAGATGAAGTAATTATCAAATATCTGTAAAGATTTGGAAATGGTCTTCAGCTCAGTTCTCTATGCAATTCATTGCACAGACTTTGAAGCTAACACAGAAGCTTTGAAAGAAATAGGTTTCCATCAATGTTTGGAAACTTAAAAGATGCAGAGTCTGTGAAATGTAACTTTAAAATGTTTTAGACCAAGTATACAAAGCATAAAAACTAGCCAGTTATCTGGCAAACTACTTATTAAAATATTTTAATAACATCGAGTCTAATCAACCTGTTGATTTTTTCACAATAAAAGTGAAGAAATTTCAAGGCTTTAATGCAGACCAAGGCCACAACATTTTGTTCATTTGAGTTTGTATGCATTTGGTCTTTCAAAACATTTATGAGTTTGTTTACCCACTAACTCTATCATATTAACAAACTTAAGCCTGTACAACAATTTGTCTTGAAAAATTCTAAAGTGTCTTAAGGTCTTCCCAGAACAGGTCGCTACAGCCAACTCTTCTACTGGAGTACAGTTTGCTTATAGGGTGGAATCTGTCTATTGTTTATAGCTAAACACTGCAACAGCAAACAGCACTCTATGCAAATGAAAGGGCAAAAAGACTTCTCCAGCAGCACAGAGATTACTACTGTCTGATCACTTAGTTCTTCCCCATTAACTGGTAGTACCATCAGCTGAATCATTAACACTTCCCCAACTGTATTCCAGAAGATCTATGCACACTTGAATGAATTACACAAACACCCTAGTTAGAACTCTAAGGCATTAAAATGCAATTAAAAAATATCCTACTGGAGGAAGGAGACTTGTTTCCCCTCTCACAAGCCCTAACTAGCCCTAGCGAGACAAGAGGTCAGTGAGATAAGAGGTTAGAACAATTAGTAAAACTACTGCAGGACTTACTTGGAGAAAATAACACACGATACATCCAGCCCTCAAATTCACAAGAACGATCAAAATAATAAATGGTCCAATACTCTGCTATAAATTCT